AGCAATTGAGAGCGCACCATGGCGAGCAGCGGGAAGTGAGTTCTCTTTGTCTCACCTGCATGCGTTGAGCATATGCGTGTATGGATGTGTAATACGTGTAGTCATGACTGGCTGGTTTTTCTTCACGGAGCGTGTTGGTGGTGTGTTTTTTCCCACGACACACGGCCGCCCAAGGACTCTCATTCGCGAAGAGTGTGAGCCCTTGGTCGCTCGTGTGGTATCAGGCCAGGCTGCTGTGACGTGAGTAAGTAGATTAGGTGCTACAAAATCCGTGTCGACTAGCTCTCTGTGGTATTCCTATGCGTTGATGTGGAGTGTGAGTGTGTGTGGTGTGGTGTGTGGAGAGCGGAAGTGGGGGTGGGCCTGGCTGCGTGACGGCTCGTGTGAGTGAGACGCCACGCAGGAGCCTCACACATCATACATACACCGTGTGAGCAGCCATTGCCGTCGGGTGCCTTTCAGAGGTCGGCTGTTGGTCGCGTGTGTGTTCTGTCTAGTACATGTTGTCCGTCAGAGGGCGCACATATTTGTTGACTTACAGGGATGGTATGTATGCTGGCAGGTGTGTAATCCAACCTCATTGTCTGCCTGTCGGCCTGTCTGTATATCTGTCTTTCTTTCGTCTGTCTGTCTGTCTGTCCTCTGTCTATCTGTCTGATCAGCTCAGTAAGAAGGTACATTTGTGGGGTGCTGCGTGATGAACGGTTGCTGCGGTGCTTCCATGATCTGGTTTTTCTTCATCCAGCGGCAGTGCGGCCATGCCGGGGGGGTGTCTTGGGTGGGCATATGTGTGTCTCGTCGGTGCTCACATGCGTTCATTCATTCGTTCATCTCTGATGGTGGCTGGATGGAGGGGAGAGAGAGAGATAGACGAGCCAACCAACTGTCCAATCACAATCAGCAGAGGTGCATATGTCGTCGGTCTTTACACATATGACGTCTTGATGGGGCGCTCTCTTCTTCTGTGTAGTGCTCGTGCGTATCACTACCTTCTTGTGTAACAGACCCGCCTGCAATGCCTTAGTTTCCTCTGTCGGTCTGCCTGTCTGTCTGTCTGTCTGTCCGAACAACGCAGTACGAACGTACATTCGTGACGTGCTGCGTGAGGGACAGGGGCTGCGGTGAGCTTCCATTATCTGGTCTTTATTCATCCAGTTGCAGTGTGGCCCTGCAGTGGAATCTTGTTACGTACATGCGGGGGTTGTGCGTGTGTCCTGTGTGTGTCTTGTCGGTGCCCCCCCCCCCCCCCCC